AAAAAAAAAAAACATATATAACTTGTGCTATATTTTTCTTATTGAAATATTCATACAAATAAGAGAAAATTACAAATGGATGTAAACTTGCAACTATTACCAACATTTATTGTGTGAATTAAAAGGATAAATAAATGAATTGTGTTGTAAACAACTACTCAATTAATGCATAAAAGGGAAAGGGAACACAATGATTGTAACATATATTTTCCATAGTTTTTCAAACCGGCTTGATAATCGACTTGAGAAGGTCTGCGGGTCATCGGGTCACTAGGTCACCGGTTCAACCGCCGGGTCACCGGATCAATTGCTAAATCATAATTAATTTTAAAATTTTTAAAATTATATATATAGTATTTTGTCATATAAATATTTATATAATAACAAAATTAAATTTTTTGTAGAAAAGTGGTAATAATATGTATTTCATGATAAATATTTATGATAAATATTTACCATATAAATATATATATATAGTTTTATTTTTTAAAAACAAAAAATAAAATATATATATATTGGGACCGGGTCAACCGGGTTGACCCAGGCAGGTCAATGACCGGGTCGACCGGGTCAAGGCCGAGTTGGTCGGATTTTGACCGAGTTTGACCGGTTCCTATGTTGCCCGGTCCAATAACCGAACCGGTTCCAGCTCCAGGTCGATCGGGTTCCACCTGTCGGGCCCGTCCGGGTTAAAAAACACTGATATTTTCAATGAATATGAAAATGAGTTAGTTATTTAATATTTTATCAAACAATGAAATAAATCCTACAATTTTTAATCTTATAACATGTATAAAAGTACATTTTCATCAAATATATTATTATTATTATAATTAGATAAATAAGCAATATTAATTGTATTTATGTATGTAATTATATTAGTTGTAGTCTAATAAATAAAATATTTTAATAACAATGTTGTTAGATAAAATACATATAAAAAATGACGCAATATATTTAAATGTGCTATAATTTTCTTAGAGAAATATGAATAAAATGTAATATTTTCTTATTTTTTTAAAGTATCATTTTTTTTCTTATCTGGCCATTCCTAAACCAAATTATTTTTAACATTGACCTAATTATCGTCACTGCCATTCCTAAACCTATTTATTTATTTTTGTGCATAACATTCCTAAGTCTATTTAGATTATTATTCCTAAAATAATTAGATTAGATTCCGAAACTATATATGTGCCTTATTAGTCTACTGCTATGCTACGGATCATAGATAACAAGTCTCTCTGCATAAATAATAATGATACTTCCCTCGTTTAGGTCCTTCTGGCGTTGTTTGACCCACCGTCTTTTCCTTGTCCAACCAGATTCCCCACAACATTCTCCTTCTCCGTTCAACGAGCTCCCAGACGACACCATTCGCCGGATATTCAGCAACCTATGCACCGGCGACCGGGTCCGCCTGAGGCTCGTCTGCAAGTCGTGGAGGGACACTCTCACCCGGTCTGAGTTCCCCACCCTTCCCGAGCCCCCCTGGCTCATCCTGCCCGAGTCCGAGCCCATCTCCACCTACTTCACCCTCAGCTGCCCGTACGAGGACAGGACGTACGACCCTGATCTTCCCTACTCCCTCCTCTCCGGCGGACGCCGGTGGTCCTGCCGCGGCTCCGGCGCCGGGTGGCTCCTCCTTGCCTGCTGGGACCCACCCGAGATGGTCCTGTGGGACCCGCTTTCCGGGGCCACCCTGTCCCTCCCTTCCCCCTCCACCCTCCCCTTCTTCGACCAGCTGGACCACGACGTGTCCGTGATCCGCCTCGCCCAGGTGGCGCCCGTGGGTCCTGTGGTTGCCGTGGTTTTCTCACTGACCGGCCTTCGTGACAGGCTGGCGCTGTGCTCGCCGGACGACCACTGGACCTTGCTCCCGGGCCCTACCGAGGAGCACTACGCAGACATACTCTTTCAAAACGGGAAGCTTCGGGCCGTGTGCCGGCCGCCGCACGCTTCCGGAACTGGCCCGTCAGTGGCGAAAAGAACCGATTTTGTGGCGCGACTGAGCAGCGGCTGTCANGTGGAGGTTGTGACGTGGGAGCTCAAGTACGAGGCTGTCCACCGGGCCGTTGATTATGATGAATATGAAACGACGGGGTTTAAGGTATATGAGAGTGTCCATGTGGCTGAGCACTTGGTGGGGGGCCGTGATGACGAAGATGATTTGCTGCTCGTTAGCGCGACTCTCGACATGTTGTCGCACAACTTTGGTCCGGGGGGCGGGGGACTGTTCGGGCAACACGCGTACATGTGGCCACANNGAGGATTTGAGGTTCGTCGGCTGAGGTTGAAGGACAATAGTTTGGAAAAGGTGGATCGTACGGGAGATGTTTGTATATTCTTGGGAGCTACGGGCTCGATTTCAATGGAAAAGATTGAAGTGTCTAACGACAGTCGCATTCGAGTGCCTAACTACATTCACTATGCGACAACAGATGGTAAGGGGAAAACTTGGGCTGGAGTTGTTGAAGAAGAAGAAGAAGAAGAAGAAAATGGTGAATTTGATCTGGATAAATTATTCGTCGTCCACGAACAAGGCAACTTCAACATGGAAGATGGCACAATGGAAAGAACTTATTTTGACATTTCAAGCTTACAAGCACAAGGGTCATGTATCGGTTGGTTCACGCCTGTATTACGAACCTAAACGATTAGTAAATAATAGGGCGATTACCAAGTTAAGGAGTGCCTAGAGTACGATTCATCAACTGCTACAAATTTGTGATTTATAGCTCTCGCTTTCTTGTTTTAGGCTAAGTAGTGTAGATATTCAAATGGCAATTTTCATTATCCATCTCAAGTCTGTATTTTTATTGCAAATGCATGTCTATTATTAAGTTGAGCCAAAAACCCAGTTAGTATGTATTTAGCCTGGTTTTCAATCTGATTTGCATCATGTGCTACCTTTGCTAAGTGTTCAACTTCAATTGCATGTAAATGGGTTGCATATATTTCCTAAATCCATATCCCCTTCAACCCAAATGCACCTGAATGTCTTTGGAAGACAAATTATATTATCAACCAAAAATCGATCACAAAAACCAGAAGTAAGACGATAAACTATTTGCTGACTCTGTCACATTACTCTGATCGCAAAGTAAGAAGATTTCTATAAGGAAATGAATCAGGGCAAGCATTACTCAGCCATGAGAGGAAGTGACATCAAACAATCAATGAGGGGCAGTCGAACAAACTACAAAAGATGCAGTAAATTTAGGTTAACATAGAACTTGCAGCTTATGAACCAAAGTTGTGAGAGAACATGTCGAGAGTCTCGCTAACGACTCTTCATCACGGCCCCCCACCAAGTGCTCTGCCACGTGGAATATCTGGTATACCTTAAACCCCATAGGTGAGTACTATATTAGTGAGTACTATATTTGCATTATTCGTCTCTAAGGTGCTTATTGCTTAGTATCATCTTTTTTTCTGAAGAATGATCAATTAGCATATGAAAGTCTTCTAAAAAGCTAGCAGATTTTTCTTTAAATTTGATATCCAATACCTTGAATTCATAACCAAAGATCGTATAAGTACCAATTGAATCTCATCTTCCTTCTTTTGCAGCAGCCTCTCATAACCAAAGATATTCTCATCTTCCTTGGGCTCGCCACGATGATATATGATGCAGGATACACCGACTCTGTTCCCATCTGGCTCAACGACACGTGTCCCCTCTCCGGACCATAGCATCGTCCTGCAGGCCCATCTTCCGCAACCCCACCAGAGCATTCGGTGGGCTCTGACCGAGTTCCGAAACTTGAACTTTCTTATGTTGTCGTTATTAATTCCTGCACACGACGTTTTTCGTGGTCTCCTCGAACTTCTCGGGTGTCGGGACCCCCCTTCCTACCCCGCCCGTTTTTTGCCCTTTTTTGGCGGGAAAACAACATCCGGCGAGTTTTTTATTTTTATTTTTTGCTCGAAAACGCGCTTTTCTCGGCGCGGGCATCGCTTTTACGACCTCGTATCTAGAAGCTTCCGCGGTCGTCTTGAACTGCTCGGCCCCGAAGCTCGCAAACTCTTCCTTGAGCTCGTCCGGGAGGAGGGCGGCTGCGTCGTACACGGGAACTGGAAGAGTATGCTCGTTGGCGGGGCCCGGGACACGGTCCAGCATCGGGACGAGCACAGCGCCAGCCTGTCACAATGGCCGGCCATAGAGAACAGCCAACATGGCGACGGGGCCCACGAGGAATTAAAGCGATTTAGTAACCGCATATGGTTCCCCTGTGCATGGCGTCTCAGCTTAAACCGATATAATTAATAACCGCCTTGCATGGCGTCTATTTTCTGTTTTAAAAACAGATTCCCTCTCCACTCTCATAGTGTTGAAGATTTTCAGTCAAGATGGGAAAGCAGGGCATGTGGACGAATGGCACTTGTGGCACGAAGAACCCAGTGACTCCGTTCAAGAAGCCAAAATCCCTGGGCAAAAAGAAGAAGTTCATCCCGAACGGACCAAACTCTGACATGCTATGCTATGCTATTCTGCTTGTTGTGGTTTGCGCCGTGATCGTCTTCATTTGGGCTAGCAGGTAATCTTTGATTTTCATAATTTTACTGGTTGAATTTTAGCTTGTTTTTCATGTTTTCCGGCAACTACGATTGACCGGCTTGGCCGGGAGAATGTTTTCTTGAATAATTTTTTTTTTTTTATTTTTTTTTTTTATTTTTCGTTTTGTTATAGTACGAAATGTCAAACTTACCCCCACGCACAGGGTTTTGAGGGGGCGAATTGTATTTTCCGTGCGATTTTCATCGCAGAATTCTGGGTCATCGCAATTCGAAATCTTGGTTTCTTTTGAGATTCGCAATCTGTTTGAATTTGGGTCATCGGAATTCGAAATCTATAATGGGTTTCTTTTGAGATTTGGCTTATTATGATGCGTGTTTTTTTGAGATTGAATTCCCGAATACGGTCAGTTGTGTTTCTTTTTTCGCGACGCGTGTAGGTTTGGTTTGTGGGTGCATTAATATCTTCCCAATTTGCAGCTTATTATTATCCGTAATAAGTTAATCTGCAAAAGGATCACCATTATCTCATTACAAAATCCTAATATACACTCTTCAATGCCACTAGAATTCTACCTTCTTTTGTGTTTAACATCTGCCAGTGATTACATGTTTCAAGAATTCTAGTTTTTAGCAACCGGTTTTTATTTTTGGGAAAAATTTCCGAAATAGGTTAGTATCATTTACTGCAATCGCCTTAGTATTATGATCCATTTTCTTGTGGTGTTTCAATCTGGATGCTCCAACTAATGATAGTCTATGCAAGTTTTGTTCAAGTTACTTGTGTGAGTATGGAGTTATCTTGCTGAGTTACCATCAAATGTTTATGTTAGAGCTTCATGATAAATGTTTTTGTTAGAAGCAGAAACATAGTTTTCTGCAATTGAAGTATGTAGAGTAATTATAGCTTTTTTGTCAGAAACTTACTTCTACTGATTTTGGTTGCTTTGAAGTTGGTTCATTTATTGCTGATTATTTTGTTTGTTCTGTTATCATGGATTTTCCAGGTTCAATATGGGTGCTGAAAACAACATTGAGATTGAGGATGGAACCGGAGATTGGAATGGGTATGTTTGTTGCAAGTTATCTTTTAGTGATCTACATAAATAATTTCTTATGTACATCAGTACATATGTGCTTATTAACCATCCATCCAAAGTTCATTATCTTAGTCTCTTACTCTGTATTTTCACCTCATAGATCATTCATGTTCTTTCGGGAGTCGATAGGATTAGAAGCTTTGCTGAGATTCTGGAACTAGAACGTTTTAGTTATTTCTCCATAATTAAAATGAAATTAATTCGTATGAAATGGTTGAATGTGGCGTCTTAGGAAGAAAATTTGTCCTGAAGTACCTATATAACTACATATATACAACAACAACAACAACAACAAAGCCTTTAAGTCCCGAACAAGCTGGGGTAAGCTAGAGATGAAACCCAAGAGAAACAGTGGTAAGAGAAACCCAAGATATAACTACATATATACTTTCTTTAATATTTTCCAACAAATTGTCACATGGATTGAGTTTTACTCTTTTTATTTCTTTCAAACGTGTATAGAATATGCACAATTGTGTATATGATGTGTGATATGGTTTTTGCCTGCCCTACTTCATGTTAAAAAATTGCTATTTCTTAGTATTTTAATACCTGTTTTTTTTTTCTCTTCTTAATAGATAGCCAAAAATTAGTTGAGAACATTTTTCAGATTCATGTGATCTTGAATTCTCTTTTGGTTTGTATTACTGTATGAATACCAACTTTTAAGGTCATTGTAGTTCTCTGCTTCCCTAATATGGTACTTGGCTTCCTATTGGTTAACGAAGTTTTGCTTCATATTTCTGGCAGGGTGAACTACTAGGGATGGCTGGCTGGCTTCGGGGGACGGGAGGCTTTATATCTTAGAGAGATTCGAACGTTTTTGGATTTTGTGTGTGTGAATATCTTAGCCTGGGTGTGCTGTGCTATAAAATTTTGTGTGTGTGAATATTGGGTTTTGAATGTTTTGGTTGGTGTAAGATTTTGAGGGAATTTTCTTAGTCATTTCCTCCTATTTAGCAAAGCTTGCTCATTAACAGTGCAAAAGGCTGCACCCTGACATTTATTGTTTAGATGGGTCGATGAATGAGTAATTTCTCTTACTATTTTCGCATAGTGTGTCTTGACAATCTTCTGTTTTGTTGTTGTTTTTTCTCTCGATTTGGTGTCCCAGTCTCGGCATTATTGCTTAGGATATTTTTTTGCGATTCATGTGCTTTTGAATCCTCTCCATATCATGTTCTATGCTAAAAGTCCTTAAATAACATATTAAGCGTTATGACTTGGGAGATATTTCCCTTTTCGTTTTTCTAAACCAACTCAAGTCATTTCTAGGGCTCTTCTCTTTGCTTTCTCTCCTTGTAAGTTGAGCAACTTTTGCCCCCCGACTCCTTTCTTAAGTCAAAAGATTTCCTTTATTCGGTTTTGGAAAGGTCCCTTTCCACCCGGTTTTGACGACTATGCAAAATCATTGATCTGCTACTCCCATGTGCTGCTACCTTCTGAAAGTGGAATACCCCAACTTACTAGTAGACGAGTTCTTTCCTTCTCCCCCTCTCCTTTCACTCGCATCACTAGAGAACCCGAAATCAAATTCAATACGAGACTACACTATGAAAAGAAGAAAATGTCTAAAACTCTCCTGGGAATCATAACTTTGTAAAAGATAAGAGATTGGTTTGCTACTCTTCTTTAGATTCAGATATTCCAACTCAATTTTGTCAAACTCTTCAAAATCAGCCTTCCTTGACTACTTACTCTGCTCCTAGGAAGGATGGACTGATGAGATAATAGAAGAAAAACACTACTTCCAAGAAGTCTAGCATTTCCTTGCCCCCGATTGGTGTATTGGGTGGGACTCCATCGATTTTATGTTTTCGGTTTATTTGAAGACTGGTTTTGTTGAAAAGTTCATTTTTTGAGATTTGGAATGCATTATTACACTCCCTTGTATTTCTCTCTATGTGTTTCCAATTTAAACAAAACGGCTCATTCATCCAAGAATAGCATTTGGTTCAGGTGCATGATTGGAGCCTGTTGTTATATCCCTATCATCATTTTAGCGATGTTTGAAGTTACTCGTGAGGATCTTAAA